ATTAATGATAAAAACCTAGAGGACATTATTCAACTTCTGAAATCTCCTCCTGCTGCCTTGATATTATTCCAACAGGATTTTTCAAAGATGTTTTTCGTTGTATGGCCTCAGATCTACTTCATATAGTAAACAAATCTCTTCACTCAGGTGTTTTTCCACAGGCCCTGACAACTGCAGTCATTAAACCGCTCTTAAAAAAGAATAATCTAGATGCTTCAGTAATGAACAATTACAGGCCCATATCAAACCTGCCATTTCTAGGTGAAATCATTGAAAAAGTTGTTTTTCAACAGTTGAGTAATTTCTTGCATTTAAATAACTGTTTGGATTGTTCCAGTCAGACTTTCGTCCAAACCACAGCACTGAGACTGCTCTTGTAAAGGTCTTCAATGACATCCACTTAAACACAGACAGTGGCAGAACTTCAGTGTTAGTATTATTAGATCTCAGTGCTGCGTTTGACACCGTTGACCACAACATATTACTCGACCGACTAGAAAACTGGGTGGGACTTTCAGAAACAGTTCTAAATTGGTTGGAAATCCTACTTAAAGGACATAAAAAACGTTGTTTCTATAGGTAAATGCACATCTGAGTTGACAAATATGACATGTGGGGTACCTCAAGGCNCACTCATAAATCATAGTGTGTCCGGGTAGTAAAACCAGTACTGGTGGTCCTGGGTATACGTATCCAGACCGTGTGTCAATCGTAATGGCTTGTTAGAAGACGTAAAAAATTTTTGGTACAAATATATTTAATGCTTCGCTTTCACCTTCTAAACCCCCTTTTATGTTCTAAAAAAAATTTCTTGTGTAGCGGCAAACTTAAATGTCAAGCTAAGGTAAAATATCAACATGTGGTCATGCAATCCCGACGAGTTAAATTTTAGCATAAAAATTAGCGTTAATGCTAATACCGACACGTTGGCTAATGCCTTTTGTTGCATTAGCTTTTATTTTGCTATTTATCAAAATAATAAATAATACATTGGAAAAAAGTCAACTTAATATGAATTTTCAAGTCCCATTAGTTGACAATTTTTTTATGACCAAGTTTACAAAAAAAGAGGTATTTAACTACAAAGTTTCATTTTACCTATTAGCACCTATCCCCTACGGAGGCTTAACTAGCCAGTGGCTAGCTGCTAGCCCGGGCTATGAGTGAGAGGTGCAGCTAGCTAGTCAACGAGATATTTGTACGGCTAGCGCCTGCTCTCGACTAGCGTACTGCATTTTATTGTACTGTGAAAGAGACACCACCGACCGTTTTGTTAAGTCCCGGAGAACGGTTTTACCGAACGTGGCAGAACGTAATTAAAAATTCCAGAGACTTTTATCTGTCATTTATCGCGCCATACCGTTGCACACAACTTCGTCGTTAGGACGTCGAGGCGGGCGCGGCTGGCGCCACTCCACTCGCTTTTTGTCGGTGTTCTCAATACTCCTGGATTAGCAGTGTGAATCGATAAAACTAGATAGGAGACCCTTGTTCGAATTATTGATAAATAGTAAAGAAGTCATAATAGAAAAAAAGAAAAGCCAACAAGCGATAAAGGTCAACCCTAAGTATCGTCTCGATCCGTAGCTTATCTCGAAACTGTCACAAAAAATCCAACAGACAGGAGTCCCTATCTACTCACACACGAACCCCATTCTCTCCGCTCTCTCCCGCCCTCTCTCTCCCTCTCTCATTTTCTCTCGCCGAAGGCGAGTAAAGAGGACACAAGAATAGGTTCAATTACATTTGAACTTATTACTATGAAGTAAACTTTACATTATAGAATTCAACTAACAACAAACACCTTCGAGCGTCACTTACTTTAATTGGACTCAATTTTGTAGGTCGAATTTACCTTCTAAATTGTCACTACAAATTTAGAAGGTTAAATCCGGGGCGGGTGAGCTAGCCTAGCCGTGAGTCCGCGCTATGACTAAGGCCACTAGCCGGGTTTTCTAACCGCGCTAGCCTCGTAGGGTTCAGCACTATAGTTAATGACTGGGGGTTTATTTAGCTCTAAGTACTAAAAACCGGATTTTAGCTGCCGTCGGATTCGTCATGTCATTCGAATTTTTACAGTAAAAGTTCATTTTGAGGTAAACGCTCTTTGACCTAGAGTTTCAATGTATATATGTGTCCCGTGTCTAATCAGTTTAGTTTATACTTTGCTGAATATAAGCGTAAATATAACTTCATTATGCCTCCTAATTGAGCTTCGCCGTGGTTACCTGTCCTCTTTATTGGGGGTCAAAATAAACTCTGTGAAGCCTATGGACGTGTAAAACTCTCACTCTAAAGTTCTTCTATTCCCTTGCTTGGACTTAAACTGTCGCGACAAGAAATAATAGGCTGGACACTTAATTTTAAGATCTGGACATTTCACATCGTACAAGTGGCTGCAGCAATGGGGTACAGAGTGACAAAGTCATA